AGTTGTGTAGTATGTTATGTGATTATATTTGGAGTTATAGTTATGGCTTGATATAGCTTGTTCAAACTTATATCGTGTGTAGATAGGAGACTCGGGTCTTGAAAAGAATTCTAGATATTGGAAATTTGGGTTCTAAGTTTTACAGACTAAAGTTAAAGAAATTATATTCAATTATGTTGTATTGTAAGACCTATATGGAATAGGGTGGCGGGAATCACCTCCGGGAATGTGCGTGGTAGGGTGGAACAGTGATTTAAAGCTTAGGAACAACTCTTGGCATGTTCGAGGACGAACGTATGTTTAAGTGGGGGAGAATGTAACGACCCAGCCGATCGTTTTGAATATTACAGCCTCGTTCCCCCATTTACTACTTATCCTGTGTCAAATTATAATTATGTGACTTGTCGGGGAGGTTTCAAAATGAATTGGAACACTTAGTTTCAAGAATTAAAGCTTAAGTGGAAATAGTTGTTCGGGTATTGATTGATGTGAAAATGACCCTGAAATAGAGTTTTGATGATTCCAATAGCTCCGTATGGTGATTTTGGACTTAGGAGTATGTCCGTAAAATACTTTAGAAGCTCGTAGTTAAATTAGGCTTGAAATGGCAAAAATAGAAAGTTTAAGTTTTGAAGTTTGACCGGGGAGTTGACTTTTTGATATCGGGGTCGGAATCTGATTCTGGAAATTGAAATACGTTTGTTATGTCATTTATGACTTAAGTGCAAAATTTGAAGTCAATTCGGGTCTATATCATGGCAAGGTATCGATTGAGGGTGAGTGGAGAAGAAAAAGAAAATGGAAAAGAAAACAACTGGTAGCATGCTAGGGTCCGTGCAACGCGCGGATTGTGGCACGCCAGCCCTCTCGGAAACTTTGAAAACCAGTGAAGTATGGGCATTTGGCGCTAGTACTGGCATGCTACCCCTACTTGAAGCCTTCTTAAGTACTCACTTCAGGGGTTCATTTTCCCCATTTCTCTTGGCCGAATTTTGGGGTTTTCCTCCACTCTCTCAAGACCTCCAACTCCTCCCATTATCAAGGTGAGTAATCCCAACTAATTTGGTATTTCATTCCATCAATTCGACCATAAAACTAACTCAATCCACCATGAAATCCTTAGATCTTCAAGAAATTTCTTCAAGAACTCAAAAGAGGGTTTTGGCAAGATTTCTTCCAAAAGATTGAAGTTGCTTAGTGTAGTGGATCGTTGTAGTGTCATTACGGGGCGAATTTCAGTTTCGGATCGTTGGCTTTGAATTGAGGATATATGAAGGTATTCAGAGGTGGATACGCGCAGAATGAAATTTCTGGAGCATTGTTTAACTTGCTCGTCATTGGATTCGGCTTGTTCGAGGTAAGTAACACTTTTAAACTTGGAGCTGAGGGTTTGAACCCTGATTATACGTGTTATGTGTTTGGTGTCGAGATGATGCACATGCTAGGTGACAGGCGTGTGGGTGTGCACCGTGTGAATTATGACTCGGTCATTTCTGTGATATTGTGTAGTTACCTACTCTTATTTGTATCTATGAAATCTCTACGTGATAGAGTAATTGAGTTATGATCCATATTAGAAACCATGTCTAGGCTATATGCTTATTTTGTTGGGACCCACTTAGGTCATTAGTGTTGTTGAGTTATTTGCTTACATTGCAATTTCATACTCAGTCATATTCATTCATTTCATATCCTATCTCAGTCTCTGTTGCTATATATATATTGACATATTATATCATTATTTTGGGCTAGTTTCATGGCATTGTGGGCCCGAGAGACTAGATAGATTGATGACTGAGTGAGGTCGAGGGCCTGATTGTGAGGTTATTGATACTATAGCATGTGAGTTGTCCGTGCGGATCCATATATTGATACTATAACACGTGATTTGTCCGTGCAGCATGTGAGTTGTCCGTGCGGATATAGATATTTATATTACAGCATGTGAGTTATCCGTGCGAATTATAGCGCTTGGGCTGAAGGAGCCCCTCCGGAGTCCGCATACTCCCCAGTGAGCGTATGTACCTATTGCGTGCGAGTGCGAGTGCGAGTGCCGACTTATTGGGAGGCTTGAGTGGATTGATACTCTGAGAGTATGCTTATGGTTGTTCACTATGTTGCATTTCATTGACATGCACACTTGACATACAGTCACAAAGATGCATTTTTCTCATGCTATACGATATTGCGTACATGCACATTGACATGCAGGCATAGAGATGTATTGTTCTTCATGCCATTTGATGATGAAACATTTACCTGTTGAAAAGTTTTGGAAGGAAAAACCATGATTTTATAAACTTACTCATATTTTGGTATTTTCGGTAAAAGAATTGAGTTTTCACTGTTATACTTGAAAAGCAGGCCTATTTTCTGGAACTGTGAACGAGTTGAATATTTTATTTCTGAGTTACTTTTTGTACCATTTTTATTATATTGTTATGAGCCGTTATTGGCTATCAATATTGGACTTTGACTTGTGTTCCAGCTCGTCACTACTTTCAACCTAAGGTTAAGTTTGTTACTTATTGAGTACATGGGGTCGGTTGTACTCATACTACACTTTTACATATTGCGTGTAGATATTGAATATTGATGTTGCTATGATCGACGTGAGCGGGATTTGAAGACGTACCTGCGTTCCGTTTGTTAGCTGCCTATTGTTCATGGTAGCTTTAGAATTTTTTATCTGTTTATGTACATTTCGAGCAGATGATGTATTTGTTTCATCCCAGCTTTGTAAATTCTAATCTTAAAAGCTCATGATTTGTACTACCAGTCCTTGGGGAGTATATTAGAGTCAGTTAAATATTATTTGAATCGGATATGATCGGATATTTATAAATTAGCTTACCTAACGGGTTGGGTTAGGTGTCATCACGGCTAGTTGGATTTTGGGTCGTGACATGAGCACACATCCGTATGATATTAATTAAGTCCCAGTGCACCTTTTAACTATAATTATTGATCATATACATGCATTTAAATAATAGATACATGATTCAGACTTAGAATTTTGGCGTGAAGGGTAAGCGTGCGGCTGCGATACAACTATGACACATTAGACTTGATGATTGGACATTGATTTATGAGGGATGCTATTATACTAAACTTGATCTTGAATTTGCATCCGTCCTTCCGGAGTCAGGTGATAACCCATGTTACTTTAGACCCTGTGAGCGTAGTATACATGAATTTTGTATCGGGACTATACATAGATTTTATATCGGGTTATGTGATACATGGATTGTGTATCAGGGTACATGAATCTTGTACCGATTGAGCATTCATTCTTATTATTGATTCATTCTACAGTATTTATTTCATAGTAAACTGTTACTTGATACTCTTGTATGCTAATTAAGTGTCCTGGCTTTGTTATTTGAGCATGTTGTCTTTTATTAAAATATCTTAGCAATGTTAGGGTTATTAATATACTAGAGAAGCATGCTTATCCATTGATAATTGTAACTCTTGTTATTTATGAAGTTCCTTATTGCTCAGTTGTTAAATTATGTTATTATACTTGTGTGGTAAGTATTCAGAAGCATCTAGCATCGCCACTACTTCTTCGAGGTTAGACTTGATACTTATTGGATACCGATTGTGGTGTACTCCTACTACGCTTCTGCATATCTTTTTGTGCAGATCATCATGTTGGTCCCTAGCAGAGCTTCTGGATTAGGCTAAGAGTTATCACGGAGACTTAGGGTGAGATGCACTACATAGATCAATTTCGCAGTCCCCTAGTCCCTGTTCCTTTTATTATATTTCTGTCTATTGTATTTTAGACAGCTTGACATTTATACAGACTTGATCTCATTTCCGTAGTTTACTCGTGTACTTGTGCCACCTAGTCTTGGGGCTTATTGTGTTGGCCGTGTTTAGGCCTTGCTCGTGATTTTATCAGATATTATCACTGATTTCGAGACTATTTTCATCTTTTGATGTTATATATCCATGTTAAATAATAAAAGTGAACTTTATTTGTTATCTTCGAGTTGGCTGGTTTAGCAAGTTCGGTTAGGCGTCATCAGTTCCTTGAGGTGTGATTTTGGGACGTGACACCCGGTCAAACCTATGAACTTTCTAAACCTTCAAATTTTAAACTTTCGCCAATTAGAGCCAAATCAACCTAGGAACATCCAAATTCAAATGCGGAGGTTGTTTAAACAAAAGTCAAATATTGGTCAACTCTTGTAATTAAGCTTTCAAGTTCCAACATGGAACTAAGTGTTTTAATTCATCCCAAAACCTTCCCGAAACCAAATCATTCATCCCCGCAAGTCACATAACAAGAAATACACATACGGGGAGCATCAAATAGGGGAATAGGACTCAAATACACAAAACGATTGGCCGGATCGTTACCTAATGCAATAAGAATACCAACTTTCAATTACTATTAAATGACAAGAAGAGATTCAACAATATCAGATAGTTCTAACATGATCCCTGCTGTACCGGCAACTGGAGTCAAAATGAGCTCATTTTTCACTTTTTAGATAGTGCTAATTGCGAAACATGCTGAATCGGAAGAAATATGTGACTCTTTAGTGAACAAGCAATAGTTTGGTAACAAACGTTCCATTATAATTAGTTTGGCCGCTATTTTGATTATAACCAACAATAACAACAAACCCAATATAATCATATAAGTGGAGTTTGGAGAGTCTAGTGTGTACGTAGACCTTACCTATAGAAACTACTAGGAGAACGAAAATAATGCTATTCAAAGGCATGCATGACTTTGGCCTACTTCTTTCTTTGGTACTCACGTTCTATGTTTGTTCAAGTTGGTGAAGTTCAAAGAATAACTAGCTAATAATTAAAGTACTAATCACACGGTGAGAGTTATTCTTAGAAGTAAGTGGAGAAATGCAGCATTAGTGTTCAGAAAGGGTGTAATAGTTACAAGCTTCCATTATGAGAGAGTTTTCAGCTAATATGCGAATATGTTGTCAATGCGAGTTGCATGCATTATTCAAATGATCAATGCATAAGAGAAGAAATCTTTCAAGCATTTACACCAATCTTTTAAGCATTTACACCAATCAAACAATTCCAAATACTTTCAGCAGATGATAAGCATCATCCAAACAAATCAACAGACCATTTCTTTCTTATATATTTTTTTTGTTTTGTTTTCGCTACGTGTTGCTGCGTGTGCAAGGAAGAAGCATAGCCCTTGTTATGAACAGAAACCAAGAAGAAAGGAAGTAAAGAAACAGAATCATAGAACTGCTCTTGCAGCTGTTCCAATATTCCATCTTTGCTTCTGCTGATTTTCTTTTGGAACTCTTATCGCATTACCAAGCAACGTCCTGTGAGCCATCCTTCCTCTGCTACCAATGGAGACCCTAACTTTCTCCGCGCCCACATTCACACCAACTCTTCTTATGTACTGCTGCAGTGGAGACTTGAACTGCATTTTCTTCTGAAGGCTTCGTCTCAAGACACTGTTTAGTTTCTTACTCACACTCTTAAGCTCTTTAGGACTACACTGTGATGTTGGTTCAGGTAAGCACTTTGAATCGACCCCCTCAGCATCTTCCGTCTCCTCTGCTTGTATTGATCTCAATGGTAAAAGTGAAGGAGGAAACTTGGTTACAGGTGCTACGTAGCGCAGTGGAACTAGAGAGTTACGGCGTGGAGCAGGTGCAGGCAAAATCCTGTTTGCAATCGGGCACATAGAAGCTCGCCCACTCCTCTTCGGAACAACTACTTGTTCATCAATATCTGGATTGTTTTCTTTTTCTGTCAGGTTATTCTGCTTAAAAGGACAATCCACAGTAGCAGGAGCCATAGAGAGTTTGTGGAAATTGTTCTCAGTAAGCGGTCGTGTAGTATTAATTGGTGGATCCTTATTTTCATCATAAGTCTTTTGAACAGAAATTTTGTTCGCAAATGGTGGCCTCATTGGTGCAGCTTCTTGTTTCTCATTCTGTTGTTCAATAAGCTGTTGCTGAAATTGTTCAGCAATTTTAGAGTTCACGTGTTGTCGAGCAAGTTTTCTCTCCACAAGAAGTTGTGATTCTAGTTCCTTAATCTGCACATCATATTGATAAGACTAATTAGCTAAATACTCATATGACCACACAAACTTCACATAATTTGCTTCACATATCTGTTAAGAGTTCCAACTCGTACCTTGTCCTGAAGATTTTTGTTTTTCATATCCTTTTCTTTCAACTTAATATCCAAACCATGAATTGTATCCTCCATCTTTTTCATATGAAAGTCCTTGTTCTTCATGTCTTGTTTTCCCTTTTCGACCTGTCAAGGTAAATAAAATTTCCAAAAGGCAGGAAAATGATTAGTTCGGTGGAAATTTTAACAAAGGGATGTAAATTTCAAGAGAGAAATTTACACTACCATCTGTTTGTATTTCAGGAGCTCCATACTATCCACTTGCTTCTTTGCTGGACCTAGCTCTATACCTCGAACTCGACTTGCAAAATTTAATGAGCAATGAGTCTCACTCAAGTCACTCTCATTTGGACTGATCTGAACAAACATCAACGTCTTTGAATCTCCTCCTGTAAATTAGAAGGCCTTATCAAATCTTTGTTGTTTATAGTTTCTTCTGAGGTTCATGATTCAAGCAAGTCAAAGGGAAATACCTAGTGAGTCTTGGAGTAAATGAGTAAGTTTCGAGTTCCTATTAGACAAAGAAAAGAAAAGAAAATCAGAGAGCAAGATATTTCTCCAAATAAATTGAGAATTTGCACGTGAGTATTGCAAGTACCGGAATGGAATATGCGGACTCTTTGTTGCAAGTGAAGATATCACATCTCCAAGGGCAGAAAGAGATCTGTTTATATTTTGGGTTTCTTTTAGCCTTTCACCCTGTACTTCTGTCTTTGCTATCCTCTCACTTCCTGCTAAATCAATTAACCACAGTTTGCTTCTTGTGCATTCCCCATTTAGCAAATTCTCCCCCTTTACCATTACACAAAGTATGCTACACACACACACACATAAAAAATGTCTCTGATTAGTAATTGAGGACATAATGTGTAAACAAATGAAAACCTTCCATAAATTACGATGCACAAACCAATGTGATCGGCTGCTGTGCTCATTTGCATTGGTTGATCCAACTGCCCTTGCATTGCTACCAGTTTGTAAGGCTTCCCAAACCTCAGTCATATTATTCACGTGGGCCTCAACTAGTCCAGGGACATGATGCATTCCTTCTCCAACTTGCTTTATTTCAAGCCTAACGAAATCACGGGATCAGCATGAAACCGTATAACTCCATCTAGCTTCTAAACAAAGTGAGCAAATATTTTATATCTACCTTTTCACACCTTGTTGAGATCCTGAAACTAGCAAGTCTCGGATCTGCTCATTGTATACTTCCAAGACGCTTACTGATATTTCGTAATGAACTGTGTTCTTTCGCTCGTCAATAATGCGAAATAGCTCCTCAAGAGTCCGGTAATTGACCCCTCGAGCTTCTTCTGTGCCCTCCATTGTAAATGTCTTGCCAGTACCAGTCTGGCCATAGGCAAATATGCAGGCATTGTACCCATCTAGAACTGAGGTTGCCAGGGGAGCAGTATCCTCAAAAACTTCAGCTATTGTAACAAGCAAGAGGAAATCATGTGAATAGGGAGAAAATGACACTTCATCAAGATTATTGGTTCTTATGCGGGTTGTTTAGGTTATTACTGCTGCTGCATCTTGTATTCTGTATTTTGGCAACAACTTATTTATCTTTTTTTTGTGCTTACAAATGTCCAAAGCGTTATATTGAATAATTTTTTAACATTGCAATTCAGACACAGTAACTTCAGGTATATTTATAGAAACTGTTATATAGTGTTGAACGAGAGTTGCTCCATATTTCTGCTTCTTTTTCCTGACCAGTAGGAGTTCACCATAATTTTTTTCTTGTATGAACAACCACACACCCAGTATTAGATTTTTATATTTAAAGGTAAGAGATTTTCTTATACAGTAAAGAAATTTTTTAATAACATTCATATGAATTTAGACTAATGGCATCATTATGTGATCAAGGAAATGCCTCCATTTTTTTACTTGAAACCAGATTACATTCCTTGGATTCAAAAAAATTACAGTCAAATCACTTGTTGACAGCAATTATAAATTTAGTTAAAGTGAAAGCTTAGCGTTTAGGGGTAAGGTCGGCATACTCACTACCCTTTCCAGACCCCACTTGTGGGATTATACTGGATTTGTTGTTGTTGTTGAAAGCTTAGCATTACTCTTAACTTAGTCCCTTAGAGGGTCTTTTAGTACCACTAAATATGCTACTTAGTTCAAGTAATACTCTATCAGAAGTATTCTTAACTTAGCACTATGCTCCTTAGTGTAAAGGGATTGCTAGCACTAGTCTTTAACTTGGACAAAGGATTTAGTTACCTTGGTCGGCTTGGGGGCTAAAAATGGCGTCAAACTTGTAGGTCTTTTTAGACATGCCGTTATACTTCACAGTGAGTTCCCCATCCTTTGCAGCTTCAAAGTCAATCGCCATTGAAGCTCCTGCAGCTGTCTCTTCAGCGTTCAAAGGCCTACACCGGCAAAAGACCCTAATGTTCCCTGAAGCAATCCAATAGAGTCAAAACAAGCATATGATAATAAACTAATTGCTCTTATAAGTGTTGTAATTTACTTATCCCCTACCTTTTAAATCCAAAACCTTGTTATAAAGTTCCTTCTGTTCCTTAGCACCCTTGACGAACTTGATCTTGAGATCTTCATGCAATTCAACTTGTTCCTTTACTATGATTATAATAAGAGGAATTACAATGTCAAAAAAGGAGTTTTATTTCTAACATAACTGAATGCCAGTATCTAAAAAAAGATTTACATTTGGACTGAATGGTAGAGCTCATATCTGCAAAATCTGCTAGTAATTGCTGCTTATATAATAAAGCCTCTTCAGATACTTTGATTTGATCCATTTTTAGAATCTGCAAAATAAATTTTGGAAGAAAATCAACATATTTACTTATATGATACAAGAAGCATATGACACAACAACAACAACGAACCCAATGGAATCCCACAAGTGGGGTGTGGGGCGGGTAATGTGTACGCAAACCTTACCCCTATCTTATGAAGATAGAGAAAGTTGTTCCCGATAGACCCTCGGTTCAAGAACAGTGAAAAGAAGCATATGACACAAGCATCAAAATTAATTACCTTCAATTTCCTCGTAAGATCTCTCAAGGATGAAAACCATCTGCTCTTTTCTTTCACTTGGCCCTCAATTGCAAAAGCTACAGGAGGCAAACAATATCAGTATAGCATTTGTTTTGCAAAAGTTTAATGCAGTTCTGTTAATGCAAAGTAATTTCTGTACCGAGTGATCCAACGTGCATTGACTTGCGCATGAGCTCATTCTGAAGCTCCTTTAAGGACTTCCAAGCTTCAGCACATTCTTTGCATTTTAGTTCATTTTCCCTTTTAAGTTCCTCTACTGGCATCTTTGCATCTTTCTGTTCCTTTTCCCGACTCACTTTTGTTAATTGAAGCCTCTGATCTACCTGAATAATAGCAAAAACAAGCATATTAATTCAAGCTTCTAATGCTTTTTAGCCACAGCTTTTCTCTTTTACAATGAATAGGCGATTAAAGACTCAAACCTCTAGTGAGTTGTTTTGTGGAGAATATTTATCGTCTGAAAATCGAATGCCACTCTCAGAGCTGATGCTAACTATAGGCACTGAAAGAGAAGGAAGCTCAAAATGCAGGCACAAATCTTCATCC